TCCAGTAGATTTAGGAAAGGGACAAGGGAATTCCTTGAATTCTTAGAGGTTGCTAATAGTTTGTTTAGAGCCTTTGATATTGAAACTCAATTTGGCTACTTACAAAACCTGTGGCTACAATCTTTTTCCTTGAATGTCTTAAATACCTTTCATTTTCTTCTAGACCATTGTTTTTGAAGAGTCTGACAGCAGTCTAGTTTCATTTCCCCTATAAATCACTTGGTCATCTTCTCTAGATTTTTACAAATAAGTTTTGTTACGCACAAGAGTCTGTTCCTAGCTCTACTTTGGGAATTATAAGAATAGATCATGTCCAAGTGTGGAGGGAATCTTAAAAGGTTATGAAATACATTAGGAGGTGAAGGGGGATATACTTGGCTTTGGAAAAGCAGTGGTCCAGAGCATAGGCTACAGGAGCAAGTGAGTGGCCCACCAACAAAGAGTCATTTACATCAATATCTTCCATGGAGTTGCCTGAAAATCTGTTGTAGAGTTAAACCCTGGGGAAGTGTAGATTTCTGACAGTCCATGCAATCAGTAATCACTAGTAATCACTGTTTTGAGTACCAAATAAAATAAAATATTATTTTGTAGTCATAGACTGCTGAGTCTGGTAATATGTTGGGTACATTTTCAGGAGTTTAGCAAAGTGATTAGAAATGAATGCAAGGATGTCTCCTCCTTCATATGAGTGTTGACCATCAAGATTATATAATAAAACAGAGGTCTCATGCACAATAGAGCAAAAAAAATATATATTTTTAAAGAAATACTCCAAGACTCTGATTCTAGAAAGCTGATGGATCAAGTTAATAACAAAAACTTCCATAACATGTAGACAGGATATTGTATATAACATATAGCAAGTTTTCAAAATATGCTTGTTGGCCTCATCATGAAAGAAAGAAAATCTGCAGGGGAACAAAGTCAACAAAGAATGAAAAAACAGAACTATCTATAGGGCCTGGTGACATTACAGCCAAGTTCTAACAATTCAAAAAACAACTAATTCTCACCCTATCCAAACTGGTCTAGAAGATTGCAAAGGAGGGAAAAATCTTCATCTCATATTATGCCATATGCTAAGCTCTATAGATGGCAAAGAAAGCATTCATAATACCGATCATAATTATAATGTTAATACTAATTCATAATGGAAGTTTATGACAAATTTCTTTAACCTGAGAAAGGAAATCATAAAAAGGCCAAGAGCAGGGATCCCTGGGTGGCGCAGTGGTTTGGCGCCTGCCTTTGGCCCAGGGCGCGATCCTGGAGACCCAGGATCGAATCCCACGTCGGGCTCCCGGTACATGGAACCTGCTTCTCCCTCTGCCTATGTCTCTGCCCCTCTCTCTCTCTCTCTCTCTCTCTCTCTGTGACTATCATAAAAAAAAAGAGTAGGATTTAGTGATTCATCACTTATATACAACACCCAGTGCTTATCACTCTCTAATCCCCATCATGTGTTAAAATCATCCCTCTACCAAGCTCCCCTCTGATGACCATCAGTTTGTTCTCTATAGTTAAGACCGTTTCTTGGTTTGCCTCTCTTTTTTTTTTCTCCCCATGTTCATTTGTTTTGTTTCTTAAATTCCACATATGAGTGAAATTATATGGTACTTGTCTTTCTCTGACTTTTTTCACTTAGCATAATACCCTCAAGCTCCACCATGTCATTGCAAATGGCAAGATTTCATTCTTTTTTATGGCTGAGTAATATTCCATCGTATGTATATACACACCACATCTTCTTTGTCCATTCATCAGTCAATGGACATTTGGGTTCTTTCCATAGTTTTGCTATTGTTGATAATGTTGTTATAAACATCAGGGTGCAGGTATCCCTCGAATTAGTATTTTTGTTTCCTTTGGGTAAATACCTAGTAGTGCAACTGCTGGGTTGTAAGGTATTTCTACTTTTAACATTTTGAGGAACCTCCATACTGTTTTCCAGAGTGGCTGCACCAGTTTGCATTCCCACTATCAGTGTATGAGGGTTTCCATTTCCCCACATTCTGGCCAACATCTGTTGTTCCCTGTATTGTTAACTTAACCATTCTGACAGGTGGGAGGTAATATCTCATTGTAGTTTTGATTTGCATTTCCCTGATGATAAGTAATGTTGAGCATCTTTTCATGTGTTTGTTAGTCATCTGTATGTCTTCTTTGGAAAAATGTCTATTCATGTGTTCTGACTATTTTTTAACTGAATTATTTGTGTTTTGTGTTTTGAGTTTTATAATTTCTTTATATATTTTGGATACTAATCCTTAAAGGATAAATTTTTAAGAATACTATTTACGGTATCAAAAATCCACAAGAGACAAAATCTGGAAGCAGCCTAGCAATAAATCTAAATAGATGCTTAAGATCTTTGTGGAGAATATTATAAAACTTTATTGAAGGGCATAAAGGAAGATTTACATGAAATAGAAGCATATGCTAACTTCTGGATGAAAATTCAGAAATATCTAAAATTTCCCAAAATTTATCTGCAAAATTCAATGGAGTTCTAATCAATATCTCAAAAAAGTTTTCTCAAAAAACTTGATAAATTGATCCTAAAAGTCCAATGGAAGTCTAAAGAGCTAAAAAGAAAGTATTTTTGAAAAAGAAAGATTAATAAGGAGAGGAGGGCTCTCTTTACCAGATACAAAAAAATTTATTATATTTTTGTATATATTATATACAAAATTTATTATAAAAAATAAATAAAAATTTATTATAAAGTTACATGGTAATTAACACAGTGTGGTAATGTTGCAGAAATAGACACAAAAGCTCAATGGAAGAAAAGAGTATATATACAAACTTAAATGCACATTGGTTTTAAGAAATACAGGGAAAGTGGCATTCATAGTGAGGGAGGGATGGCCATTCAAGAAATGGTGTCAAAAAATTTGCTTCCTGTTGAAAGAATATAAAATGTAAAAGTATAACTAGAGTGTGACCACACACACATACACCATTTATTAAAATAAATTTCAGATAGTGTTCTAAATATTGATCATATACTCCCCAACCTAAGGAAGTGACATACTTGTAACCTACATGAAGATTTGTAACCAGTGAAGTAAAGAAATGGGGGCAAAGAGGGTCACAGGCTGGAGGACCAGCATATGTTCTGTTGCAGAAAGCAGCAAGGCATGGCAGAGGAGATCACTGGGATGGAAGTTTTGGGAAGGGGGGTAAATAGCCAGAGTTGAGATTTGATGTGGTGTCAGGATTACTTCAGACTATAAGCTCTTGTGGGCCATGTTATAAGTTTTGGAATCCACCCTAAGAGCAATTGAAGCCAAGAGAGTTTTCAGTGGGACAAGTCCTGATCAGACTTCTGAAAGATCTCTCTAGTTGCTGTGTGAATAATGGGTAGGAAGGGACAGGAATTGACATGGAGAGATCACACTAGAGGTTATATCAGGTATCAGGAGGGCTTGAATTATGGAGGTATGGTATTATGAGAGAGACATTTTAGAAGGAGATATCTAAAATGGGAAAAGGTCTCATGAGAAAAAGTGTATTTTATTATAGTTATTTCTGTAACTTCACACAGGAAAACTGAAGCTCAAAATGCAATGAGCCTTTCAAACATTGCTGAGGCTAACAAAAGTGGTCTGCTTCTTTATGTTCAGAGTTGAAGGATCAAGGAGGCACACAGGCCTGTTTCATTAAAAGAGAGTTGAGATGAAGGAGAGAATGCTAGAATCCCTGGGAGAGCTCTGTCTATATTATATATACTCTGGGCACTCCAACCTTCTAATTCAGACAGAAGACATTTTATTTGGAGGACAAAGTTAGGTGAATTATTGAGAATTTAATATGGTAAAATCCAATCATATTGTTGTCTTACTACTTCTAATAAAGGGTATGGTGACCATTCTTGGGTGATGGGACAAAGCTTGTTGCACTTATAAAGGCTGAGCTCTTCACAACCCCCAGAAAAACATTTTCTCTCTTGGGAGATCTCCAGTAGTCCATGATGAAGTAACAGGCAGAGGGAAGGAAGGTGGCAAACTTTAAGTCAGGGACAGCGGCAGGTGTGCTGGTGAGGACTGAGCAGGAAGACAGGGTGATAGCCTGGCCCCGTAAAGGGCAGGAGCATCACGGCTAGACATTCAAGTGAAGGGTCAGAGCTGGCCAGCAACATCATGTGGGACTCAGGGCCTGGACCTCTCACCATTTTCCCGGCATACTGTGGAGTAAAATGAGTCCCAAGAATGTTTTCTCAAACTGAGCATCCCTCTGTCCTTATCCCAGGCCTGCTGAGAGCATCATGGCTGTAGAAAATTCTGGAGCCTCTTTCTTAAGAAGGGAACTTTCCTAAGGAGGCCCCTTTTGGTAGGTTCTGAGTTTTAACGTTTTCTCTAGTAACTTTGGAATGGCTTACATTTATTATCCAGTACACCTTCTATATTCAATCTGGAAGACTTCCATCCAGGCTCATCAAATCCTCACTTCACGGATGAGAAAGCTCAGCATTTGGCCAAAGTCACCTAGCAAGAATATGGCTTCACTGGGACTAGAATTCAGGTCTCCCGTCTCCTACTGAATAACTACATCCATCACACACTTTCCACTTCAGTAAAGGTAACTTGATCTGGAAACACAATTTATTTCTGACCCTGCTGTAAAAATGTTAACTGCTTCTGAGTTTTCATTCAACTTATGGAATCACATCATGACTGTACAATGGGAGAAACTCGGCAGGATGAATTCTTTACTTTGGGTTCCCTACTGTTTTCATATATATTACTACAACTCCCAACAGGGAATTTGAGTTTCGAGGAGCCAGTGAAATAAATCCTACAGAGTCATTACATCATGTACAACCACTGGAGGATAAACATCTACAAAATACATTATGCATCTGCCAGGTTAACAGCTTGTTTTGCAAGAGGTTTATTTCTAGCAAAAGATATTAAAAGGATAAACAACTTACTTTTATTTTTGATTGAAAAAGAAGGCAATTTAAAATGTGTTAGTGATGGGCATCCCTGGTGGCTCAGCGGTTGAGCGCTGCCTTCAGCCCAGGGTGTGATCCTGGAGACCCAGGATTGAGTCCCACGTGGGGCTCCCTGCGTGGAGCCTGCTTCTCCCTCTGCCGGTGTCTCTGCCTCTCTCTCTCTCCTTGTCTCTCATGAATGAATGAATAAAATCTTAAAAAAAATTAAAAAAAATGTGTTAGCGAGTGTCCTTATGTACTTAGGCCTGGTCTCTTGCAAAAACATCAATGTGTTACCAGTCATTTGTATCTAGGTCTGTAGTGACGTCTCCCAAATGACTCTCAGGGAGTTTGGGTCTTGAGACATTTCATGAAAACATGCACAGAAAGTGACAGCCTATTCCTCCCTCTTGGAGTATCACTGCACCCATTTAGCATACTTTGGAGATCCTTTCATTTAGTCCATTTGCAAGACATCCTTGGCCATGGAACCCTTGTTAAGTTTTTGCACTTAATATCCTTAGAACTCAATTTCCACAGAGCACTCTTCAGAAAGTGCTAGTTCATGATTACTTTCCAGGAGCTTAGCCCTCTGGAGGGGCATTTTGGGTCATAATGGCTCTTTGTGGGGTCCCATAAATGTAGCTCTAGTTGTGAGCCTAACACCAAGGTGAACATCAGTAGACTCTCTTACATCACAATGCGACAGCATCTTTCAATACCTTTTTCCAATTCCTGTATATCTACATTATTCTCAGTGAATATTAACCATTAATGACAGTTGAGACCCAGACCTCAGCAGGGACATCCTTGTCCCTCCAGCTCCCGCTTTGATACTGACTATGTCACCTGGGCAGAAACCTTCATATTTATTCTGTGTCAACAAGGTGTTCTTACCCCAAGTACCAGGAGTTCAGTCCATGGAGGATTTGGATGCTTTACTCTTCATTCTCCTCTCCAACCCTTCAAAGGACATCTAATTTCTCTCTTTGTCATATGCATGCAATTTTGGAAACTACTTTGTTTTGAGCATGCCTTTTGGGAGGACTCCTCTTTTACTCTAAGCATCAAATACTTAACAAAGTGTTTCTACCAAACTGATGGAATGTTCCCCCAAGAAGAATTCTGATTACATTTTCCCATAACCTCATTATTGAAACTGCATGGATATTAAAAGAGAGGGAAGAGGCCAATAATAGTGCTTGCTCAATACATGCAAGTTCCTCTCTCCCTTCCTCTATCTTTTGGTCTAGAAGTGTCAAGCATCAACTCTGGCGGCACATTACAACCATGTGACAAGCTTTTAAAATATAGACATCTTGGCTCGACTTGTAGGGGTTTTGATTTAAATAATGGAGTACACGCATCAGTTTTTAAAGCTCCCCCCAGGCTATTCAATTGTAGGTATCCAGGTAGTGTTTCACTGATTTGGAACATGAAATCGATGAAGGCGAAAAAGGCCATCACTTACTAAATTATCAGAAAAAAGGAAACACTGAAATATTTCACAGGCCACTAATATACCTGGTCACTTGCAGCATCTATTGAGCTATCTACCTGGCATTAATAGCTCTCCAGATACAGCTTTCCTACCAGATGCTCACAAGTGTGTGACAACATAGTGATTTACCTCTGTTTTTGTCCATTGAGCTCCAATCTATCGAGAAAGAGAAAATAAATCTAGAACATTGGGGGCACTTTCCTGATAGCTGTCATTATTATGGTTTTACAGTTAAAATTTTACAGGCTGGGATGAATATTCAACCAATTCTTATGCACCCACTGCAGGGCACTAGTGACTACCACTCACAATATAGCTTGAAAATCCCATCCTGATGGTGTATTTTTAGGGCTACTCCTTATACCAACTATTTTAACCTGAGCTTCCTTGGAAGAACAACTTAACACAAAGGGCTTGCATATAATCCCGGAGATCATGAGTGAAGGACATGAAGAAAGTAGAAGGGACATGCAGAGAGCTAATATGAGGATTTGCTAGCAAGCAGGTTGCCAGTAGGTGTGATAATTGCTTAATTCTTACCCAGTAGGAAATTGATGAGCAGAAAACTTGATTATCCATTTTGTATGGATGACTGGTCTAGAGTCTGGAAGGCGTAGGACTGGAAAACTAGGGATAGAGTCTGGGAAGAGGTACGTAGACTCACCCATAGGAGTGGGCACAAAGTATGGAGCTAATTGCCCACAGAAAACATATGCTGCAAAGGGGTATCTCAACATCCCGAGGGCAAGATTGATTCATCCTGGGTATATGAGGTAGTTTCTCTTGTCGGTTTGTCTCTGTGCTGGACAAAGGGCCCAGGAGCAGAGTGGTTATGTGGCAGAGACAGAGGCTTGCACAGGCTCCGTCTGACCTAGCTAATGCTACTCTTGCATGCCTAACCTGCTAGCAGCGGAGACCAAGGAGATCAGCCAACTTTTTAGGGTAGGTGGATTATAATGGACATCTTCCATTCTGACGGGGAAAAATTGTCTTTACTGGAATTGATATTTAATATGAACATGAGTCTGCCATACGTAGAGTTTAATGGGCAAGATAAATCAGGGCTCAGCCTCCTCAGAGATGAAGGTCAGTGTCATCTCACCAGTTCATCAACCCACACCAGTGTCCTCTTGGACAGTGAGGCAAGAGTAATTTCCTAAAGCACAATTTTGATCATGTCATTCACTTGCTTAAAACTTTTTGATGGCTGTTTATTGACCTCACCAAAAAAGTCCAAATTATTTATCTTAGTTAAGAGACTCTCTAAGATTTAACTTCTACTTCTTTCCAATCTTTATCTTCTGCCACTTCCTTCCTTACAGTCAGTTCCAACAACACTGAACTACTTTCATTTCCTTAAAATGGAGCCAGGCTTTTCTATGTGCTGCCCCTCAGCCTGAAATACCCTCTACCAGTTGATTAGTGCCTACTCAGCTACCAGATCTCAGAGGAGGCAGCAAATGTTCTTGGACATTTTCCTGGATGCTGCAAGATTGAGCTAGCATCAGTCAAGCCCACCCACACTTCTTAGCCCCTACTGTAACACTCACTATGTTGTAGTGCATATCCCTGGATCCCCTATTAGACTAGAAGCTTTCCTATACTCCCAGCAGCTAGCAAAAATTAGGCATTTAACAAAAATATTGAAAGGATTAACAAATGATTCAAGTGTTTTTTCCTTCCTATTAAATTGTTCACTATCCTTATGATGTACTCTTTTTTTCCTCATACAGTTCTCCAAAGTACTTAAGAAGTAAATGAAAGTGTGAACAGCATGAAATTGATTGAGAGCATAACCAGGAGTAAATTTTATATCATTGGGGTTAACTTCTTAGAGTCATTATGTAGGAAAAATAGGCTAAATTGCATATACGGACTAAATGCAGTTAGTCAACAGAGAATGACATATTATTTCACTTGCTGTGGATCTAAAAAACAAAACAAACAAAATTTTTAAGTAGGTGATATAAATACAGAGAACAAACTGACGGTTATCAGAGGGAGAAAGGGGTGGGGGATGGGCTACATGGGTGAAGGGAAGTAGGGGATATAGGCTTCTAGTTATGGAATGAATAGGTTGTGAGGATGAAAGGTACAACACAGCGGGTATAGTTCATGGCATTGTAATCGTGTCATATGGTGACAGATGGTAGCTGTATTTGCAGTAAGATGGTGTAATACATACACTTATTGAATCACTATGTTGTACACCTAAAATTAATGTTACATTCATTGTGTGGCAGTTATACCCCAATAAAAAATAACTTTCATAGATTCCTAACCATTTAGCATTCTCTTTTGTTTTTATTTTTAAAAATCCTGTGTTATATTTTTGTCATAATAGTGATTGTGAGGCTATCCTGCTGCCTCTTGACCATTTACCTTGCTTACGGCCTTGAATTTTATGTGATATCATAATTAGAATGTAGACTTCATAGTGATTGACAGAGAACAACAATTCAATATGCTTGTTCTCTGCTCTGCTGTCAACGTGGGGTCCTCAGGGGATAGTGACCGTTTCTTTCCCAGTAAAGTATCTGCACTGTATCAGTAACGCATAAGCAAGTGTCTCCTGAAACTAGAGGAACAAAATTTCTCCTGACTCCTGACCCTAGTGAGACCCATTTCTCAATAGCGATCAATCAGGTTTACAAAGAGAGAGAGAAGGAAAAAGAAACTGCTGGAACAAAATGGAAACAGAAAGTCTATTCAGTATGGTGGTTAGAGTCACAGGCTTTAGACTCAGATATTTGAGTTCAAGTCTTTTTCTGCCTTTAGCCTCTCCAAACTTTAGCTCTTTTATGTACAATGGACATAATCTATTTCATAGGACTGTGGTGGGGGGGCATTAAGTAAAATATCTGACGTAGAGTTCTCAACACATGTATACTCTTGCTGTTCTCATGGAGGATATCACTGCTGAATTCCCAAGAAACTAGGACAATAAATTAATCTGATCAAAAGAGTCTTAGGGACCAGAATATTTAGAGAGGGATGAATGGGGTTGGGGGGTGAAGAGAAGGAAGGGGTGAGACAGGGTGAGGGGAATGGGGCCATTTTCTCTAATTTTTTATCAAACCACAGTTTCCAATCTGCGGTTTAGAAATCTAGGCAATCATCCCAGGAGCCAGTAGCGGAGAAATGAATTGTGATAAGCTCAGCTATATTATGGAAAACATTCTCAGCGAACTGCAGGGGAGAGATAGGAGAAGATCCATGGCCAATGTGCTGCTCTTAAAGGACTTTCATAACTCACTGGGACACATGGGGATGTTTTGTGCTTTTGCCTACTTGTAAACACATAATAAGCACAGTGACTCACTTGTCAGGCAGAAAACTTTAACTTTTATAGTAAATCATCTCGTTACTGCAAGTCTGGAGTAAATTGGAGGTTAATCTTTCATTATTCATTTCAACTTTCACATGGTAAAAAATACTGCCACATATGGAAAAGAGTCAAATGGGCTTTGGAACTTTTCCTGGCGTAAGAATTATAAAAATTCATACCCATAAATAAAACACATTAATATATTTCTTATGTTTGCATATAAATATGAAATAATCAATATAAAATTAGTATTTCATCATTCTCCAAATCCTTTCACATCCAATTTTTCATTTGTACTGAGTAGCAGATATCATTAGATGGGCAGGGGAAATGTTATCTCCATATTAAAAATGGGAAACTCCACCTCTGAGGGGTTATCTGGTTTGTTCAAGGTTTCATGGAGCTAGTAAATGAAGGAACAAAAACTATAACCCCAAACCAAGATGACACCTCAGTGGACGTCACAGATGCTGCTGTCACGTAGGTTCACAATCCCATTTACTTCAGGAGGTTTTTATTACAGATGTCTGGCAGGCAATGTTGCAGTATAGGAATTTAGACAATGGCATATGTTCTGACATCTCATGGATATTTCCCTCATTTGTCTCATGAATAGAATGTAAATAAAATTGAGAAATGAAATACTTGTCTGTTCCTCTTTCAGACCCACTTTTCATCCTTCACCCAACTTTGCACTCCAGAAGCTGACCTTATGGGCTACAACAATGAGATTCCTTACCTGGCTTCCTGGAGGTTCATCAAATAGGGAGCTTCTGCAGAAAACCTGCAGGAGGGAGAAGAGGAAGTTTTGGGTATTTGTTCCTTACCCAGATCATATTTTCAGCCTATGTCCCTAATAAAGGTCACAGCCTCAGTCTAGCCTCCTTCTGTGCCTCCAGGTTTGGGACCCATTCCCTGCCCTTGCCCCTTCAGGTCCAGGCATGGTGTATGAAAACTGAACACCATATACCTCTAACCATAGCTACTGCTTTAAAGTAGGGAACAAGGACAGGAGAACCAGAATCATAACTTTTGCCAAAAGTATCAGGAAAGAGACTTTCTTCACATTGGATTTTTTAAGCTAAGGATCCTAAGCCTGGGGGTTCCAGGAGCCATCTTTGACATAATAGAAAAGCTAGAATACAAAATGCAGAATGGGAAGATGGTGAGAATGTGTTCCTGGAAACGTGAGTTGAGCATTTATTTGAAATAGGCCATACCTGAAATTGCCCCTTGAAGAAACCTCCCCCCTTGTAAGTAGGGTCAGCCCTAATCCAGAGGCAGCCCATCCAGGCGTCTTCCTGAAATTTTAGCAACTAAAAGCATTCTGTTTACAATAAGAAAACCATTTCCCCCACACACACCCTGATTGGAATGTCCCTGAATAGGTTCATGTTGACCCTCCCCGAAATCAACCTGGAAATCAACCTGGATGCTTGGCGACTCCCGCGGTTCTTTTGTCTTTAGGCAGTTTCTTTCCTTTTGCCTTTTAAAAGATCCCTGTAATTGCTAATCGGGGCTTTTTTCCTCCTCGGAGGCGGAGAGCCCGTTTGCGCAAACGTTCAGTAAACCCTCTTGCTAATTGCATCTGCCTGTCTGGGGTCTGGGTCTCTGGGGCGTCCACCGGGCCACGTTGGCACCCGTGAGCCAGGGTCCAACATTTGGGGGCTCGTCCGGGATCTGAGACGCCCCAGACTCAATCCTAAGACTGGCAGGAGGTAAGACCGAGCTCGCTAAATGTCCTATCTGTCTCGTCCGTTTGTCTGAATGGCCGGGTCTGTTTTGTGCCGGGTCTGTATTGTGCCTGCAGGACGCTGTACTCTGTGTTCTGTATTTGGACCAGCGGGGGAGGCAGACGTGCCCGAGACCCCTGGTCCCCCTCCGGAGTCGGACTCCGGAGTGGTCTGGAAGAGGAACGGAGCCCCGGCACTCCCTCCTCTTCGGGGAGGGTCGTGGTTCGCGACCGCTCCCGTCTGAATCTGCCGCGCCAGTCCTGTCGTTCGTGTGCGTCTGTTCGTTCCGTGTTTTTCTTCCTCTCCTGTCCTCCTCCTCACCGCTCACCCCTTCTCTACACCCCTGGGGCAGACTGTAACCACCCCTTTAAGCCTCACTCTAGATCACTGGAAAGAAGTCGCCGGCCGGGCACACGATCTTTCGGTCGAAGTCAGAAGACGAAGATGGGTCACCTTCTGCTCCTCAGAGTGGCCGGCTTTCAACGTCGGGGGGCCCAGGAACGGAGCTTTTAATATTGACATTATCTTGCAGGTGAAGGCCCTGGTCTTCCAGCCAGGACCCAATGGACACCTCGATCAGGTGCCGTACATCATAGTATGGGAGGATCTCGCTAAGAATCCACCCCCCTGGATAAAATGCTTTATCCCTTCTCAAGGGGGACCGGGCCCGAGACCCTCACTCCCTCCCTGCCACACTCCCCCAATTCCCCGTCCCTACTCCCCATCCACCCTTTGCCCCCTAAAATTTCCTGAATCAAAACCTAAGGAGCCGCCTGTGCTCCCAGGGGACCAGGACAGTCTCCTTCTCTTGGACTCCTCCCCTCCCCCTTATGCCCAACCCCCAACGCCCCGCTCGGAGGCCCCTACCTCTCCCTCCGCTCCCTCAGCTCCGTCCCCCGACTCTACGGGGGCAGAGGGGCAACCCCTCGCTTCACCCCCGCTCGCCAGTCGCCTCCGCTTTCGGCGAGAGCGCGGGGGAGAGTCGGAAGAGTCTGGACCTCCCAGGCATTTCCCCTCCGATCAGCAGGCGGCCAGATGCAATATTGGCCGTTCTCTGCCTCTGACCTTTACAACTGGAAAACTCATAACCCCTCCTTCTCCCGAGACCCCCAGGCGCTAACCGGATTAATTGAGTCAATTCTGTTGACCCACCAGCAGACCTGGGATGACCGCCAACAGCTCCTGCAGACTCTCCTCACCACGGAGGAGACAGCGCGTCTACTCGAAGCTCGGAAAAACGTCCCGGGGGCGGATGGGAGGCCGACCCGGCTGCCTAATGAGATTGAGGATGTTTTCCCCTTGGTTCGCCCGACCTGGGACTACGACACTGTTGCTGGTAGGGAGCGGCTCCGTCTCTATCGCCAGGTACTCCTAGCGGGTCTCAAAGGGGCAGGGCGTCGCCCCACCAATTTGGCAAAGGTACGTGCTATAGTGCAGGGAAAAGATGAGACGCCGGCAGGTTTTCTGCAGAGGTTAATAGAAGGCTATACTGGCCACCGTAGTACAGGGCTCAGGGCAGAGTAAGTCAGGACAGAGTAGGGACCTGGGAGACAAAAGAGGACCACGGGTTGAACGAGACCAGTGTGCCTACTGCAAGGAAAAAGGACATTGGGTTAAAGATTGCCCAAGGAAGGGCCAAACGCAGGGACCTAAAAAGAAGCCCATTCCTGTTTTGTCCCTAGAAGATGAAGATTAGGGGTGTCAGGGCCAGGAACCCCCCCCCGAGCCTTGGATAACCCTTAAAGTGGGGGTACAGCCGGTGACCTTCCTGGTCGATACGGGAGCTCAACATTCAGTTTTAACTGAGGCAAAAGGACCCTTGAGCTCTAAAACGTCTTGGGTTCAGGGGGCAACTGGAGGCAAGTTATATCGATGGACAACCGAACGGAAGGCCCACCTGAGCACTGGGCAAGTAACGCATTCCTTCTTATTGGTCCCAGACGGCCCTTACCCTCTCCTAGGCAGAGACCTTCTTTCAAAAGTAGGGGCCCAGATACATTTTCAGCAAAAAGGGGCCACTATTACTGGCGCGGGAGGGCAGCCCCTCCAGGTACTGACCTTGCGCCTAGAGGATGAACACCGGCTGCACGAGGACTCTCCACCGTCCGTGCAGCCCCTGGATTCTGAATGGCTCACTAACTACCCTCAGGCCTGGGTGGAAACGGCCGGAATGGGACTAGCTGTAAACCAGCCGCCCATAATTATAAACTTAAAACCCTCGGCCACCCCCATATCGATCCGGCAATATTCAATGAGTAAAGAGGCCAAAGAAGGCATTCGGCCACATATACAGAGACTATTACAATTGGGCATTTTAATACCTTGCCAGTCGCCCTGGAATACTCCTCTATTACCCGTAAAAAAACCCGGCACAGGAGATTACCGGCCGGTACAAGATTTACGAGAGGTTAACTGGAGGACAGAGGACATACATCCCACGGTGCCAAATCCCTACAACTTGCTCAGCACCTTACCCCCAAGCCATGTCTGGTATACGGTGTTAGATCTAAAAGATGCATTCTTTTGCCTGAGGTTAAGCTCTCAAAGCCAGCCTATTTTTGCTTTTGAATGGAAAGATCCTGAGACAGGATTCTCAGGACAACTCACTTGGACAAGGCTGCCGCAGGGATTCAAAAACTCCCCCACTTTGTTCGATGAGGCCTTGCATCGGGATTTGGCAGATTTCCGAGTTGGCCATCCGGACCTCGTCCTTCTGCAGTACGTGGATGATTTGCTCCTGGCGGCTAGGACAGAACAGGATTGTGTAAAAGATCCTAGCTGAAGTCCATGGCACCAGAGGGGACTTGACGGACCAGCCGTTGCCAGATGCTGAAGCAACCTGGTACACCGATGGGAGTAGCTTTCTACGAAATGGTGAGCGTAAAGCCGGGGCAGCCGTGGTAGATGGGAAAGCTGTCATTTGGGCCAGTGCCTTAGAGCCTGGGACTTCAGCTCAAAGGGCAGAGCTTATAGCCCTAACTCAGGCCCTAAGAAAGGCTAAGGACAAAAAGGTCAACATTTATACTGACAGCAGATATGCTTTTGCAACTGCCCATGTTCATGGAGAAATATACCGTAGAAGGGGTCTCCTAACCTCAGCAGGTAAAAACATCAAAAACAGAGAAGAAATACAAGATCTTCTCCATTCCCTCTTTCTGCCGAGAAAACTGAGTATAATTCACTGTCCTGGGCTTCAGCGAGGCAATGACCCAGTAGCAGAGGGGAACAGGATGGCCGATGAGACAGCACGGGCCGCTGCACTAGGCCCACAGGCCTCTCCCTACAAGTACCAGAGGCTGTCCGGACACCGGGGCAACTCTCTCTCGAGTACTCAGACAGCGACCTAGATATCGTCCAGCAAATAGGGGCAAAATATGACGAGCAAATGAAGGTCTGGAAACACCAAGGGAAGACGGTCCTGCCCCAGAAAAGGGCCAAAGAACTGGTGACTCACCTCCACCGACGGACTCACCTCGGACACAAAAAATTAAAAGCACTCCTCCGGAGAGAAGGTCAGACCTATTACATTCCCAAACTCCCCTCCCTGATCCAACAGGTAACCGACGCTTGTGTACCTTGTGCTAAGGTAAATACCAAACACCTCAAGATGCCTGAGGGAACCAGGATGAGGGGAGAAAGACCCGGAACTAATTGGGAAGTAGACTTCACCGAAATCAAGCCAGGACAGGCTAAAGGCGCTCCAGATTATCCAGCACCAGGTCTGGAAACCCCTTGCGGCTGTCTACCGCCCCGGAGACACAACCGGCCCACACCCGTTCCAGATCGGGGACTCCGTCTACGTCAGGAGACATCAGTCCAGGACGCTTGAGCCCCGCTGGAAGGGCCATATACTGTCCTACTGACCACCCCAACCGCCTTAAAGGTAGACGGCATTGCTGCTTGGGTCCACGCCTCACACGTCCAGCGCGCCCCATCAACGAGCACCGCTGATGCCAGCCAGGATGGACCGGACGAGCCACTCCAATGGAAGCTCCACCGCACCCAAAACCCGCTCAAGATAAGACTTTCAAAAATTGTTCAATGACAGTTGTTATATTCCTACCTCTCCTAGCGCTCTTCACCTCCGCCAAAGGTGACCCTCATGCCCTCAAAAGGTTAACCTGGCAGGTACTAACGTCTGGGGGTGACGAGGTCTGGTCTATAACTAAGACCGCCCCCGTGGGAACCTGGTGGCCTAACCTATATCCTGACCTATGCAAGCTAACCATAGGGGCCCCTAGCCCATGGGACCTAGAGGGATACTTCGACACCTCTAGAGCCCCTAACCAAGAAAGCCCTCCAGGGCGACTGGGATTAGACCCATGGGGAGGATGTGGCATGCCTGAAAGAAGGGCCATGCTAAGCACTCTTCCCTTTTATGTCTGTCCCGGGCACCACAGAGATGGCAGGCTAAATCCCACCTGTGGAGGAGGGGAATATTTCTATTGTAAAAATTGGGGGTGCGAAACTACTGGGGATACAGGATGGAGGCCCTCCTCCTCCTGGGATTATATCACTGTCAAGGCTAACTATACTCACCCGACATTTAGCAAATGGAAAACCCTTAATTATGGGCCCTGCCAAGGGTGGTGTCATCCCCTACGGATATCCTTCACGGAGCCCGGAAAAAGGGCTACTCACTGGGCCAATGGATATACGTGGGGACTCAGGTTATACAAAGAAAGAACAGATGATGGTTTTATATTCAGAATTAAACTAAAAATAGAATCCCCATGTTGGACCCTGGCTCACGGGTGCCAACGTGGCCCGGTGGACGCCCCAGAGACCCAGACCCCAGCCAGGCAGATGCAATTAGCAAGAGGGTTTATTGAACGTTTGCGCAAATGGGCTCTCCGCCTCCGAGGAGGAAAAGAGCCCCGATTAGCAATTACAGGGATCTTTTAAAAGGCAAAAGGAAAGAAACTGCCTAAAGACAAAAGAACCACGGGAGTCGCATGGCATCCAGGTTGATTTTGGGGAGGGTCAACATGAACCTATTCAGGGACATTCCAATCAGGGTGTGTGTGGGGGGGGAAACGGTTTTCTTATTGTGAACAGAATGCTTTTAGTTGCTAAAATTTCAGGAAGACGCCTGGATGGGCTGCCTCTGGATTAGGGCTGGCCCTACTTACAAGGGGGGAGGTTTCTTCACCCAGACCCCGTGGCGATCGGGCCTAACGCGGTCCTCGGGGAACAAAGTGCTGCCCCGGCCCTAGCCGCGGGGAGTGCTGCACCCACTAACTTCGCGGTCACTCCAACCCCTCGGTGGTCACCCGAGACCGGACGACTGTTTAATCTTATCATAGGGGCATTCCTGGCCCTTAATCGAACCAGCCCCGATGTAACTAGATCCTGCTGGCTCTGCCTTGCATCCCCCCCCCCCCCTTATTACAAAGGGACCGGGAGGCCCAGCAGGGCTGGTTTGAAAGCTGGTTTAATCAGTCTCCCTGGTTGACCACCCTAATCTCTACCATTCTGGGCCCTCTAGTTGTCCTGCTCCTGCTGCTAACCTTCGGCCCCCGCGTCCTCAACCGGCTGCTCCAGTTCATCCGAGAAAGATTGTCTATTACCCAAGCTCTGGTATTAACTCAGCAATGTCGGGCCCTCCAAACTGAAAAAATAAATGTTCCCTAAGATTTTAAGGTTAAAATCAGCCCAAACAAGAGGAGGGAATGAAGAAACCTCCCCCCTTGTAAGTAGGGTCAGCCCTAATCCAGAGGCAGCCCATCCAGGCGTCTTCCTGAAATTTTAGCAACTAAAAGCATTCTGTTTACAATAAGAAAACCATTTCCCCCACACACACCCTGATTGGAATGTCCCTGAATAGGTTCATGTTGACCCTCCCCGAAATCAACCTGGATGCTCGGCGACTCCCGCGGTTCTTTTGTCTTTAGGCAGTTTCTTTCCTTTTGCCTTTTAAAAGATCCCTGTAATTGCTAATCGGGGCTCTTCTCCTCCTCAGAGGCAGAGAGCCCGTTTGCACAAACATTCAATAAACCCTCTTGCTAATTGCATCTGCCCGTCTGGGGTCTGGGTCTCTGGGGAGTCCACCGGGCCACGTTGGCACCCGTGAGCCAGGGTCCAACACCCTGGACTTTTCTTCTCTGGACCAATAATATATATATATATATATTTTTTTTTTTTTTCTCTCAGACAGTCTGATTTGTCATGGGCCTCCAGAAGAATCTGCAGTAAAAGAAAAACTCCTGACCTGGAAGACATGAAACTTACTCTAGTCTCTTTCAAGTAGAAATTGTGGGACCTTTGGTGAATTATTTTACCTTGCTGGGCTCAGATCCCTTATCCAAAACAGAAGAAATCTGATTTAGATGTTCTTTAAATGTTGTTCTAGAGTTGAATATGGAGGAGGTGAACAGTGGCCAATCTTCCAACTCGGGTAGAACGAGGAAGTAAGTTCTACTTACTTCTCATTCTCTGTTCCTGGCACTTTCAGGCTAGCAAATGGGTAGCCCTGTCCTCGATGTAATAAAAGCTATTGCAGAAAAAGACCATGCCCAGACCTGGTTAGCCACATTGATATTCTTAAGAGATAGCATCTCATCTTCCCCACTTCAATTAAATCAACCAAATACACCGCATAATTTTCATATCTCTCTTCAAATCTAATCAACATATCAAGTGACCAAATAAATATTCAGCACCTACTATAAGCAAGATGTGGTGCTAGGTATTGTGATTATTAGCATTCTGTTTTTATGCATATCCTCCTTAGAAGGGGCTTGAATTCATTCTCATCAAATGAATGCCAGAGAAACAGATAAGCTTTGCAGTAAAGAAGAAGTTTTGAAAAGTACTTAATCCTCCTTATTATCCACCCACCCATTCTTCTAGCACCTAATGACCAGGATATTGTTTCTGAGCTGTTGACAGTAATTCTATTTTCTGCTATTGTTTCCCAAGGGATGAAACTTCAGTTTAAGTAAGCTAGACTTATGTAAAAGTGAATGTAACAGCATAATCCCACACAATTTGCCAAACATTTGTTGAGTTGTGAGGTCACATTTTTACATACTACACTTGCATGTGGGAAAGAAGCTTATTCTCGTGTCCCAGAAACTCAATTCCCACTGACGGTGGAGAAAAAACACTTAAATTCATACAAGGTATTTCAGTCTCTGCTGGCTTACATAGTCTCTTAAAGACTTAGGTAGTTATTTTTTTGGATGAATACACAGTCAAATGCAAAACTCACGCTGCCTTAAGGAGTTTTCTTAGATATCCATAAAATAGTGCCTTCCATGAGATGGTGCTTGGGTGGAAAGGAAAGCTTACCTGTTCTCTTTGCAGTGAGGAAAGTGGTGATGTCTACCTGCTGGTCTTGGTGCTGTCCTCCTGGTCCTCTTTGGTCTTTGAGAAGATGTCCTGCCTATTCATTTGGCATCCCCTTGTAGGAGATGCTGATCTCCAGTCAGCATGACTTATGATCTAGTGACTTAGTGGAGGTCTAGTGTTTCCCTTACCTGTGTCTTCACTAGAGCTGCAGATACACTAGGTCTCAGTTGCCTGCTCCATCCTGCCCCAGTTCTAGGTCCACCTACAGCCTCTGCCACAGGGATCACAGTTCCCCCACATGTTAGGCCCACTGGCTCTCCTCCCTCTTCCTTACCCTCTTACTTCTGGGAACATGTGAGAATGCTTGAATACCTTCCATGCCCCACATGAACCGACTAATCACCACATCTATTTGTTGTATAAGCATAGCATGCCCCATCTCTATTT